TTAACAAAAAGATACAGGTATTACAATAATTGTTTAGTTTTTAAAATCTTAAAAATATGTTTTTTTTTTTTTTTTTTAAATAGGTGAAAATGAGTTTAATATGATAGTAGTTAAAATGATTGGAATAGTAAAAATTTTAAAGGTTATTAGTTAATGATTTTAGTGGATATGATTGTATATTTACTAGTTAATCAAAAAAATGTTTGTGCCTTATTTAGCTTGTATGGAAGAAAACCCACTGAGGAGGGAAAAATTGTAATTTCCAAAATGCATTTGAGTAAAATAAAGTTGTTGATTGGTTAGTAATTACAGCATCTATGGATGGGATAATCTGTAGAAAATTGAAGTTTTTGACTGGTTATATATTGAGACAATACGAAATAGTAATCGTTTTTGGAATTATCAAATTATAAATTAAATTTTTAACTTCAGTGAACATTAAGTATTACAAGTACAATGGTGCCTCGTATAATGGACGCTGCGAACAACGGACTTTCTGTTCGGCTGTTACGTGACTCAAGCAACGGACTGGCTGCGAACAACGGACTTTCCGTTCGGCAGTTACGTGAGGTGAACAACGGTCTTTCTGCGAACAAGTGCAAATGTTTCCACTCTTTTGCCATTGCCAATGACAATCTGCTATTTTTATAATATAGTATTATTAGAATATATTATTATTATATCTGAAGTACCAAGCTCCCGTTGGGATTCGGCTTGCTCCCTTGTTTATTACATACATCACCTCAATGCAGGGTATTTACATTTATTCAAGTGTTGTGCAAATCATGGCTTCTAAAAAAACAAAGGTAATTTCAATTGACACAAAGCAAGACATCATCAGAAGGAGTAAAAGTTGACAAGGACTTCCTTGTCAAATGGGGAGAGATTCAGAAGTTTACCAACACTCACTATCCAAACATAGCTGAAGCCAACAGGATCAATGATCTCTACAATGACACCCTTGCCTGTCATTTCCGACAGGCGTTGAAGAAGAGAGAGAAACAGACCACCTTGGACACATTTTTCAACAAGAACACTGCCATAAAACAATGGATGAAACAAGAGGAGATGACCCTGCAAGCTCCAGTAGCATCTCCTGAATCTGATTTTGATTAAAAAACAATAAAAAGAGACCTGCTGCAACGTGTAAAAAGTCTGTATCTGTATGGATGTGTAAAGAAAGTGTTCCTCCACCTCCTCCCCACATCATCTGACTACCCGGCATAATTGGTGACTGCTCCATTTTCATTTTTTTTATGGTACAGTATGGTTATTTTATGCTGCGGAATGAATTATATGTTTTAACATGTATTTCTATAGGAAAATGCATTTTGTATAACAGACTTTTCACTTAACGGACGTGCACTTGGAACGGATTAAGTACGTTATACGAGGCACCACTGTATAAACTTCATTACTGTGAAAATTCCAAAAAAACACAGCAAATAACATTTATAAATTTTATTCCATCTAACATACATGACTTTCTTAAATAATGTAATATGCAGATACCTTTAAATTTAAGAGTCAATATACATTTTAACACAACTCTATATATGATAGTTAAAAGTTGTAATAGCAATCTAGAAATAGCTACACAAATCCAGGATAACCCAGCACAAAGTAGAGAAACCTCAAATAATTTCTAATTTTAGGTTTTGCCCAGCTCACAGCTCAAATTAATACAGTGATCAAAAGAAAAATACAGTTGAGTTTGCGTAAGTCATCATAAATATAACTAGACACTGTCAGTTAAGTAGTCAGTTTTCTATGGTCCCAGCCGACTTACATAGGCATTAATGTTAAAAAACTGTGGTTTACTCAACACCACTGAATAAATTGACATGCTTTTTCTGTCTCACACTCATTTAGACATCTGATAAGTCAACTCCCCTCCTGAAATAATGAATTCACACCACACAGCTTAACATCACAGCAGAATCCAATTTTGCATTTTCTCACCTTTCATTCAAGCATTATTTGCAGCAATTGTTTCACACTTCTGTTAGAAATGAGTATCTGAAACCTAACAACACTTACACTGAAGGAAAAATATGAATTTGTATCTGAATTTGAATATAATAAAACTTCACAAGCTGAATTTGCAAAACAAGAAAGCCTTCGAAGAACAACATTGGTGGGAATTCTGAAGAAAAAAGAGGAAATTAAGAAACTTTTTCTTGGGTCTTTGTTGCAACTGTCTCGAAAACACCAGAGAAAGTTGCCATACAAAGATGTTGAAGATACTCTGGTAGGCTTATGTTGGCTAAAGTAAATTTCTTCTTTGAATCTTCCTGTTTCAGGGCCAATACTGAAACAAAAAGCAATGGAAATCACTGAAGTACTTGAGTAGAAACCAACTTAGTGCCAGTGATGGCTGGTCAGAGATACATTGCATGTACTATATAAAGCACTACTGTATCTTTCTAATTGTAGTTTTGTGGTTTTTTTCAACTTTGTTTTAGTCGTCATATTGGATAACTTGACATATTTCCACTTTCCCTTGGGGTGTTGACTGTATTCACTTCAACGTAAAGTAATGTACATAAAATTTTCGGTTAGTTCCAATTACTTATATTAACATTAAAAGGCAGAAACACTAATCAAATTGTTACAAATTCAAACTACTGCACAATTGTTAATATGTACTAAATCATTAAAAATAAATCTATTTTGTTTTATTTAAAAACAACTGCATGTTGGTTAAAACCTCACTGGCTACAATTTATTGCCTCTGCACAAAGCTAAGTCTATTTTATTCATTGTTTCAGGTACTAGAAGTAGATGTTTCAGACAGAGTATATATCAACAACTCTTTCTTAGTTCCAATTATGTAATATTCAAATGTAATTAATAATGAAAAAGCAAAGAAAAAGTTAACCGTAGTCAAGCAACAAGCAGAAAGATTGATTCAGAAATCAACAGTGAAATATCTGTTGTTCAATGGTTGGGGGAAAATATATTAGAATGTGATAACTGCTGACAGTACAAGTCTGTATATTTTGCATATTACCTGAAAACTTCTAGACAAACCACATCTTGTCTTATTCCTTGCAGACAATCAGCAGATTGTCTCGTATGCTTTAGATCAGGGGTGTCCAACCTTTTTGTTTCTCTGGGCCGCATTGGAAGAAGTCAAGGAGTTTTGGGCCACAAGCAGTAGCGTAGTGTAGAGGCGGCCCGCCCCGAGCGGTACTTTTTAGGGGGCGGCAAAATTTGACAATAAATAATAATAATATCTTGTAAGAATTTGAACCATTTTATTTCATATTTTCGTGCACCTACGACTCGGACCGATTGAAATGAGCATGGAATAGTGTTACCATCCATCCGGATAGTCCGGGAATTGACTTGCCGTCTGGGGATATCGTGCGCAACTTGTTGACCTTTTTTTTATTTTTGTTTTTTTTTTGCTTGTACGATTTATTCGTATATATATACACCTTCAATATCTAATAGAGCTAGGTCACTCGCATTACTCCTATCCAAGTCTCTCTAGTCGCTAACTGTAACTGATTTAGAACCAGCATGCACTGCAAATTATTCTTCGCATTGCAAAATGACATACGCATGCGTCAGGAACTTCTGTTCGAACAAACCTCACCCGCCGTCCGGGTCGGCGATTTTAAAAAAGTGGCAACCCCTAGCAAACCCTAGCACGGAATTTTTCATTACTTATTCTGTGAGGAAACTGAATTTTAGTCTTTTAAATTGAGATACCTAAATAAGGGGACGGCGAAATTTTCCTTTTCCCCGGGGGGCTGACACCCACGCTACGCCACTGGCCACAAGTACAGTACATATATACTTGTGGTCCAATATACAAGTATATTTAAGGATTAACATGTCTAGATTATAATAATAAGTATTAAAACTTTATCAAGAAAAAGGATATTTTAAAAATTACTTCTACAGACACTTTCAATTTTTACTTAGAAATAGATAAATTCATTTATTATAAAAGACACAAACGGAAATTTATTTGAAAGACACAAACATTTGTTATATTTGGGTCTCTAATTAATAAAAAGCAACGAAACACCATTTTAAAGTGCATTTTTATTCAACTAATATAAATAATAGGTAGCCCAAAAAGTAGCCAAAGCGCCAAATGATATTTTTTACATCAAAAAAAAAAAAGTAGCCACATTTGGCGCAATGTAGCCAAATCTTGCAACGTTGGAAAAAATAGTAAATAATACTGGAGTTGTGAATCAAAGGATTATAGACCCAAGTGCAGGGAAAGGAGAGAAAGGACAAAAGATAAAAAAGTGAGAAAGGTTGGAAAATTAAGGGTCAACAGAAGATCTATTTAACCTTTCTCACTACTACATCTTTTGTTTTTTCTCATCTTTCCCTCCTTTTCCCAAATTTGGGTCTATAATCCTTTGAGTCACAACTCCTTTGAGAATTTAGTAATCCTTCCTCATTCACACATTTCCAAGTATTTGAAAATATTTCCTTTCCACTCAAGAATAAAATACGAATAAAGGTTTACCGCTTTGTGAAACTTCTTTTTTGAGTTTATGCCGTTGAAATAGATAAATAATAAAAAAATTAAAACATTTTGTCGGTTTTGTTTACACGTTTATTGGGTCGCATTGGAACTTGCCTTGGGCCGCATGTGGCCCGCGGGCCGCGGGTTGGACACCCCTGCTTTAGATGAATCTAAGATTGCTTGCCACAAGCTGGGAAATGCTTCAAATCAAAAATTATTTTGGACTTTACTATTTTGTGCTGGTAACCCTAAAGTTAGGACTGCACTGTGTTTAACCCTATCAACAGAATTTAAGATATAATTTTGTGTAATATTTCAATTATATTATTTAATAAATATGTAAATATTGTAATAATATATCATTGATATTATAATTAAAATTAATTTCAATGTCAATGATCAATTATCAATTTTAAAATTTTGATTATTACATGTTGGATTTAAAGGATTACAAAATTTATAATGAAAAATGTTTCATTTTTTTAAAGAAACAAAAACTTACGTTTCCAATCACTATTAATGCATATCACAAAATGGCTAATTGCTAAGAAAAAGGCATGAGATGATATCACAGCAATATAAAACTGAAATAAATAAAATCATTTGTTACTATACTCAATTAATTGTATTTTTATATTTTGTTAATTATTTACTATTCCTACTAATAAATATCAATTTTTAACTATTACAATTATAGATAAGATTTTTTTAATTTTAAGTACCATAATTTCATTCAATAATCATAATAGCGTATAATCCACATTGGTTAATACCTTGTAAATAATTGTTAGAATGGAAATAAAGCATTTGCATAACCCACATCACCACGTCCTTTACCTCCACAGTGGCCATTGAAAATATGATTCAAAAGTAACATTCATCAACACTAAAATACAGCAAAATGTAGAAATTTGACTGTAAACTAACATTTTCATCCATATATAACATATCTTCTGGTTTAATTTCACCAAATAAACAAAGATAATAGTAAAGTTAAATTAAGCATTTTTAAAATGAACAGAGCATCTTTAAGAACATGTAGAGAACTATGCATGTCTGGTATGACCCAGCAGTATTTATTTTAACTTTATGTTTAATTCCACAGAATAGAACAGTAAAGATATCAGTTACATATGGATGAAAATGTCAGTTTACAGTTTAATTAATTAAAAGGTGTCATCCCAAATATTCTGATTTTCCCTCCATTTCATTTTATCAGCAGTTAATTGTAGCTATGATTATACAGTAAGTGAAATGGAGCAAATAGAAAAAATGAAACATTTGAGACAACCAAATGACTTTAGGATTAAACTGGGCTACTTCTCCATGATTATTTTTAATATTAATTTCTAAATAATTTGTCACTAGAGGCAAGCATTAGACATCTTATTAATAAGAGATGGTGCCTAATGCGCCTGTTGTTTGGCATATTACTAATATATTGGGTTTCAAGATGTTTGTATATTGAGACAACATCCTAAACTACATATGTGTTGAAAATATAAATGGCTATCAAACACCCAAATTTTTTATTGCAATGCTTTATTTATATTTTATTTATCAAATAACATTAATAAAATAAGTAATAATACAGTGGTGCCTTGTACTTCAAATTTAATTCATTCCAGGATGCCATTTCAACTCCAAAGCAATTTTTTCCATTAAAAATAACAAAAAGTGAATTAATCTATTCCCAGACCCTAAACAATACCCATTTCAATAAACTTAAAACAGCAAACTCACATAATTTAAGGTAAAAATAACATAGTTAAATGCCCCAATAATAAATTTAAACATTAAAGCAATAAATAAAATATGTAAATATAGTATAACAAAATGAAAATTGCAATTACTGGTTGCACACAGTTGACATCAGCATCTTAAACATAGCTGCCAGATCTGCCACACATGTACAGCTTTTGTGCTTCGTGATAAATTCTTTTCATCTAAATTTTTAATATTACATATAACCTTTCTCTTAATTGTTAGACTTTGTTGCTTCCACACACTTCTCAGATGCCACGATTAATAGGCAAAGGTGATATTGGGTTGAATAGAAAGTTTTTGAATATTGTTAACAACTGCCATTATGTAACATAGATGTGTGATTAAATCATAACAGTTGTGAAATTTAATGCATTATTGCCAATTTAAGATTGTATTCTTTGTTCAAAAGCTTATTTTACATTTTGAGTGCATTTTTCATTGCACATGCAGTTCAAACTTTGAAGCATTATTTGAACTCTGAAGTGAATTTTTGTCAAATTTGGTATTCAAATTCTTAATGAAGCATTCAAAGTTAATCATTCGAAGTACATGGTACCACTGTAAGAATTGATGCTAAAATAAACTTAAAAATTACACATATATGGAAAATTACCAGAAATGTGTGTCAAAATTTTTATTTATTTATGTTACATTTGTTATTTTAAATCTGGAGAAATCTGAAAACTTCTTGCAAGATTTTCTGGAAGCTTTAAATTTTAGGACCTGGAATCACAGGTTATGAGATAAATGTTATACATGGCAGCACAATCATCTTGTACAAGAGATATAACATCAGTATTGCTAGATCTGTAACAAGTCTTTCCCCTATACCAACCACATTTTCTCACCAGATTAGACTAACATCCCCAAAGATTTCAGTGATCAAAATTTTCTATTGAATATTATGACATTATGAGACCACAAATGTACATGCAATCTGATGTTGCACAAACAGATACAGTGAATGATCAGTAATGAACAAATCAGATAACGAACACTTTCGTGAAAGATTTTTATGTTCAGACAACAAACACAAGAAGAAGAGACGTAAAATAATGAATACTGATTGGTCTTCCCTTGTCTTCAGGCAACGATTCAAAACTTTCTGGAGTGAGGGAGACATCGACATTGACGCTCAATGTGGTATATTCCTCCAAAGTTTTAAACGCTCCCTTGTAATTCCAGCCTTTTATTTTTCTGGCAGACAATTCTTTTAAAGTATTTGCGAGATTGTCGGGCAGGCACTCAAGTTTTGCGTCGGTTTTTATTTTCAAAAAGTGAGAGTATAATAGCAAGGAGTGGGCAGAAGATGTCTGATGTTGCTGGGCAGTATGGCTTGAACAGGTCTACAGTAGGCCACAGTTCAATCTTATTTAAGAATGTTACTGTATAATCAAGAAGACTGAAGCAGCTAAAGGAGTAACAAAAATCACATATGAGCAATAAAAATCACATCTGAGAAATAAAAAACATTGAAGAGCTCATAATGAAACCTGAAACTGATCTGATGAAAAAGAACGCCAAGAACTCTTGAATGAAGAACACCAAGAAACTTGGCGAGATATGTTTTCTTCTGAAAAAGAAGATTAATGCCGATATCTGAACATCTTTTGAAGAAGTGAGAGGATGCCAAAATAATGGTCTTAGAATGACATCCAAACCAGGTTGAGGTTAATAGGCTTGGAGATCTCTACAATTACAATGCTATTAATTATTTCTGAAAAATCCTGAAGAAGATAGAAAAGCAATCAACATTGGACAGATTCTTTAATTCCCACAAATGTAAAAAACATGACTAATAAAAATGCAAGACTGTGTATAGGTATTTTTATTATTACATATAAATAAATGTAGTAAGAAAGTATATATTTTTTATTGTTTGGTGTCTCCAGAATAAATTAATCAAATAAATCAATAATTAGTTAATGAACAATTCAGATAGCAAACAAAGTCTTGGAATGGATTACGTACGTTAACCAATCACCCATTGTATTAGGCACATGACTGTACTTGCACATTTTATTTTTCATTTTTTTTAATCATATTTCTTTTAATTTTAATGATGTCTACAACAAACATAAATGTAAGCAACAATGTCAAATATCACCATTTTGATTAAAAGTAACTGAAATGTATGAATGAAATAGATTTTAAAATAACAGATAAACATCCACTACCTGATTTTTAATTGAAGCCAAATGATTTATCGGATTAACGGGTTATTTTAAAGTTAACAGTGGATAACATACTTAAAACATCAAGATAGGCTTTCATAAGTACAAAAAAACAAAAACAATGTACAAGTATAAGTAAATAAATTTCAATTATATTTCAAGTACTTTTGATTTGTCACAACCTTTGTCAGAAATATTACAAAATTAACTGATATGAAATTTAAATGAATGTTCTTGCAGAGGTAAAGAACAGATTTTAAACAAATTAATGAATATGAAAATTGCATAAAAATAAATGTATATCATCAAGCAATTTCAAAATAATTTATAAAAAGGAAGTATTTAAGGAAATTTCCCAAAAGTCAAGAGTGTCATATTATGCATCTGGTATAAAAAAGGTTGATCTAGAGGTAAGTAAAAATGCCTACTTCTAGGTCAAATTACTCAGCATTTAATTGTTAATAGTAACAATAACATAGCTCAATCTAATTTGGCAATCATTTAGCTTTAGTATTTTAACCTCAAAAAATATTTTTGAGGGAATAGAAAGAAGCTATGAAATTGAATTTCAAAATTGGTCAGAGGGTCATTGTTTAAAACAGTAACCCATTTGTGTCAAAAACTCAAACATTCTTGATTGTACAACATGCCAGAGTTTTCCAATCATATGAAGTAAGTAAATAACTGATTGCATAGTTATGAAATTATTATAATATTAACAATAATAAGGATCCATGATGTTTTGTACACATGGGCTTTTAGACATGAGCTTTTTATCTTCAAAACATTTTGTTTTTGTGGTTTTTGTGCATTGCAGTTTTGTCTACCCTTTGAGTTTCTTTCCTATCATAGTATTTTCCCTATCTGTTTGATTCATTTCTTTTTTTATGTTAGTTAATGCTACTGATTTGATTTTTAATTTTTAACAGAATTAATTAATTAATTGATAATTTTGATCTAATTGTCTCTCAAAGCATTTTTTAAAGTTTTTCTTGCCAACTTTGCTTTCAATAAATATGAATACTGTTCTAATTCAAATGTAAGATTTAAATTTATTGAAATAATAATGTTACTTGAAACATTTTCAACAATTCAGAAGCAAAAGAACAAATATAATAAATATTTGTTTATTTATTTAGTTTTAAATATTTATTTATTTAAATTTAATTCANATATTTGTTTATTTAAAATAAATATTTGTTTATGAACCATCACATAGTGTTTGTTTTTGTGGAATACTATTAACTCCGCCAGATTGGAGATGAATATTAATAGTATGCCTGAAAAACACTGAAAAGTCCGCGTACATCTTGGTCATGGATTTCCGTTCTTTATATCCATCAATTGAATTACCACCAAGTTTGTTTTTGTATTCTATGTTTTCTAAAAAGAAACAAGTTTGATTAAAATTCTCATATATTGTACACTTGGATGACCCAACATGTATAATAAACTTTTTTAGAACTCTGTTTCCAATCATAAAATGTTATCAGAATCACCCTTTCTCTGAAAGATGACTTTCATCCCTTGTATTGATGTCATTTATCACTAAGATAGGAGACAAGAGATGTGTCCAGAATACAGTCCCTAATTTAGCAGACTTTAAATTCCAATAATTTCATATTATTCTAACAACAGATTGACCAGCTGTTAGAGAGAGATTCAACCATTCTCACTTCAAAAAATAAATGGTCCCAACTAATTCCAATATCATGTATTTGTAGTATACTAATCCCAGCACAATAGTTTTCAGAGGGAAAAAAATTGTATCTAATTTTTTTGTCACTATCAGTTTTAAATTTCAAAATAATAGATAGATTTATTTATCTTGAGAATTTGCCAGAGTTTAATGTAAAAAGCATATCTGAAGTACAAATTCTTTTATAACAAATTAATCTGAAAAATAAAAATTTAAGATATATCTATTTATCTATCTATTTGAAACAACCAAGAAAGAGTGAATTTTTATATACAAGTATATTCCACTTCATAACATACTGACACTATTTTTCATAACTATATATATTTCATGCACATGTAGCAAAACAGTAAAAACATTTATGTAACTTTTTTACATAAATATTTGTACTGTTTTACTTCAATAGCTGATGATGGCTTCAAGAAAGCCAAAAACATTTCTGCAAAAGTAAAAAATTTTCAGTTGGCTCAACCATTAGTGTCTTTCTGTCTGGATTAAATATTTTTAGTAAGTTAGTCAAGTCAACAAGGTAGGATAATGCAGATTTCACTAATCTTAATGTAATATGATTAGCAAAAATACACATTAAAGATATTAAAATTATGAAGAAATGTATAATCTATTTAATTTTTAAAAATTATTATTATGTGACATTAAACAAAAATTTCAATGACAGCAAATGAATTACTTTCTTAAATGCTAATAACAAATTAAATGTACAACTAGTAAGTAATGAAGTATGTAATGCACTAAAATGCAATTTCTGATGATAAAATTCATAATGTAATTTTAAATTCTTGTTATATTATCATTTAACTTTTATTATTTTAAGTTACTGAAAATTCAATTTACTTTAAAGTACCAAATTTTTTCATATAAATCAAATTTGAAATATATTCTTACTGTAAATAAAACAAAATATTTTTGATTATTTTCTCCAACACAATTGTTCACCCAAGGACAATGGTGATCCATTTTTCTAACACAACGTTGACAAACACTACAATGATGAGCTCTTTCTGGTTTGATACTACAACATTTTGGACATTTATATACAACTTGACCTTCTCTCAATCCTAACTGTTGAATCATTTCTTTTGTAGCTGTTCCTCTTGGAACAGCTCCCTAAAAAAAATAAGGTAATTGTAAAATATTCATCCAATTTATATAAATTTAGTATTTTACTCTAAATGAATCTTAACCTAAGTAATCACAAAAATATAAAATTTCACATTATAATTTTAATATTAAAATTTCATTTACAATAAAAAAAATTATAACTAATAGTATACCTTAAACTGAAATTTTGTCTGAAATCAATAAAAACATACCATCATTAATAATTAAAGAATAATTATCTAATTTATGTTTTATGAACATATTGTTATAGATTATTATGAAAATGAATTAAAAATTAGGGACTGCACATTAATTACACATACAGTTTAAGAAGAGTAACAAAGTATATCATTGTAAATAATGGAAAGAAGACATTATCTACAGTAGGGGTCCCCAAAGTGGTTGATAACAGTTCTCCAGGGATCGATTAATACACAAGGGTCGAAAGGGGGTCGATTAATACCAAAGAGGATCAATTAAATTGTCTAGGAAAAAAATAAAATATTCCAATAAAAATTCAAAATACAGATATGATCAACAACATTACTGACTACCCTAGTTATAACTTGAGTTTTGCCTTAGCCTATGCCGCGTTAAGCTTGTGTTACTCTGTTTTCACGCATCTGGCAACTGTACTAGTGTTGCAAACATGTTATAAATGCTAGTAGTTCATTATACACAGACATACATTCACTCTAGTTGGGTTGTCCCTCTAGTACAGTAGAGTGTCGATTTTCCGAAAGTCAATCATCCGAAAGAATTCCAGTCGGCAAATTTAAATTTTCGCCAGTACTGTGGCGCTTCAATCTTTGGCTGTGTCTTGGGCTACTCAAATATTTTACGTTTTTGATACTAAATTAACATCTGAAGTATAATTTTTTATTATTTTTATATTTTTCAATATATTTATTTTGTTTGTACAAAATAAAAAAATAATTTTTAACGATACAATAGTCTTTGTTAGGCTTAACATCGACGAAAATTCAACGCGAAGCGACACGCAACGGATAAAAATTTCGACATCGGATACGTTAAACTATTTTTTCGTACGTAAATCAGTTATCCGAAATATCAGTTATCCGGACAACCACAGTCCCCAATTGATTCGGAAAATCGACGCTCTACTGTATTTTATATCTAAATGTAGATATTTTGTCCTTTACAGAGAAAATATTGTAATATATCGAAAATCATTAATATAGTACAGAAGTGTTTGCAAGAAAAAATGGCCTTTCAAGTAAAAATGGAGCTATTTAAATCTTCACTGGCACGATCCGATTTTAAATATTTTTCAAACTTGCGAGTACTAAAAGAAAATGAAAAGGTTTCCGACCGGTTAAACATCTTGATAAATTAAGAGAAGACTTTAAAGCACGTTTCGAAGAATTGGAGAATATGCATGTTTCTGAATAGTTTGCTAATCCATTTGATGTAAAAATAGATAATGAAGGTAGTGAACCTGGCTTAGAAGATGAATTGAGTGAAATATGTGTAAATCTCAAAGCTAAAGCGTTGTTTAAAAATAAAAACCTCAGTGAATTTTGGAGCAATAACAATATTGCTATTAAATATCCCAAGTTCAGAGCAGAAGCCGAACCTTTCTTACTTGCATTCCCAACTTCATACGTGGTTGAAGCTGGCTTTAGCCACGCGAACGCAATTTTGACAAAACAGAGGAACAGATTGAACTTGGAAAACCGTGGTGATTTGCGACTAAAACTTATCAATTTTCAACCAAATATCAATAATCTTGCTGCTTCTCTTCAGAGACATCCATCCCACTAATATCAACTATTTTAATAAAAAGGTATGTCTACATATTTTTAAGGCATTCAGTAGTAGTCGCAAAATGACAGTAAGAGGTTTTTTCATCCAATATAACTAATGTTGTGTTTTCAAAGATAAGTGTGTATTTTATGTATTATGACATGTACGGTTTAAGAACTATAGGCAAATTTCCATCTATCCATAATTTTGCTATTATTTTTTAAGATTATAAATCAGTGGAAAATATCTCCTTTTTCTGTTAATGTTATTGAGTGAATTTTATAAAATATGGAAACTATAAATTCTTTATTTGGGTTGTTTTGCGGGGTCTCCTTATCGCTTAACATTAGAAATGCAAAAATGATTTAATGTTTTTGTTAAATACTTAATCTGGAGGTCGATAAGAAGGCAAATATTCTATAAAGGGATCGATGGGATAAAAAGTTTGGGGACCCCTAATCTACAGGAACTTTTTAGTGGTATTAATATTTGTCCTTATAAGTCCCCTTATTAGTCATATGCATAAACTCAGTTATAGAAGATCTACAAATATTTTAAAATCATTTTTTCAACATCACAGAGGTCCTTGAGCTATCATATATATATAATTAAAGGAGAGAGGGTTTGACAAAAGTAAACCATTGTACATAATAGACAGTCAAAAATTGCTCTAAAACCTTATAGCCATACAATCATCTAATGCAGTAAAAATTTCTTTATTCAAATGTTTTCAATTGTCTTAAATACAGGTATACCTTGCCTTATGTCAATAATTGGTTCCAGGAGAAGGGACTTAAGTTGAAAAACGACGTAAGTTGAATTTACTTGTCACTAGGCTGAATCACAAATACTTATTCTCAGTTCTGTATTTTATTTATAAATGCATTTTTAATAATATATTGTTAATAAGAATCTATTTTAAGCTTACAAACAAATAAATTTTAATTTTTAATATAGTACAGAAAAAAGTAATCTAAATTTATGAATTCATGTACATACAGTACATGTTTGCAATTTGGCAATGTTTACAGTACATCACGAATTCTTTATTTGTGAATGTGGTTTTGCTCCAAGATATTATAAAATATGATGATTTTGTAAGGTTAAATAACAAATACAGTTATTATCTTGCGACAGTAGAAAATAAACTAATTTATATTAAATTTACCAATATCAAGTGGCGCTGACAATGATGCCAAACAGTAGATATTGGAACTACCGTGGAAAACACCAATATTGAGCACTTAACGACTGCTAAATAAGACGACAACACAGAAACACAGATGTTGAAAGAGCCTTCACGGCTAATATCCCCATATTAAACTGTTAAGAAAAAGAACACAGATGTTTTCATGTTTTGTTCTCTAGGATTTATGATGATTATATTAACATTTACTGTAAATGTAGATAATTTAATATGATTTTATGTGCTTTAATGCTTTTCTAGTGATATTACGACTTCAATATTTTGTGATGGGCAGACGTAAAGTTGAATAAAATGACTTAAACTTGATTTTTATTTTCCCATATATTTTTTGACAAACAACGTATAATCGAGAACAACGTAACTTGAGGTATACCTGTAATCTTCTTCAGGAAAGATCATTTAACACAATTGAAAACATTTGAATAAAGAAATTTTTACTGCATTGGATGGTTATAGGGTTGATAGTTGTAAAATGCAATTCCTGTAGAAGTAATAAACTGTATAGTGTACATGCAATTAATGAATGGCCCTTATATCAGATTGAAAAAAGTTTAAGAAATAGATATTAAAATCCAAAATAACTATTTAAAACAATGGAGTAAGATTAATTATCCAATTCTTACTTAATTGTATTGTAGAAAAATACAATTCTAAAACATTACATCAATAATGAAATAAAAATTAATTTCATTATTGATGTAACGTTTTAGAATTTTGAAGTTATATAGCCTACATAAGTCAAAATGGAAAGAAAAATTGATTTTTGTATATTTTTCTAAAATACAATTAATAATTGAGATATTAAAATGTTCAATGATTTATGTAAATCAACCGGTGCCATGCTGTGATATTTATGATAGGGAAGCTGTGTTTCTGTAAGAAGCCAACTTTCAGGGGCAATCAGTTAATTGCACATCAGTGATGGTCTAGATCAGTGTTTCTTAACAGGGAGGCCACGGCCCCCTGGGAGTCCACCGGGGGGTTGCCAAATTATGCAAAATTTCCTTCAGAATATAATAAAAAGAAAACTAATGTATAACTGAATATCATATTGAAAAGTGAAATAAGAAAGATAAAGTTTTCGTATTTAGTTTTCTTTTATTTATTTACTTCTTCCTATATATAACTTTGTTAGTACAGAAGAAATAAATGCAAATATGCTACTTACACCGCAGTATTTACTACTTTTATTCCAAAGTAATTCTAAGAAACTATTAATGCTTGGAATTTTAAAAATAATTAGGAAAAAATAGTAGGCTTAATAGTAGTGTTTAAAAATTTAAATGTTTTTTGCAAAAGATATGCAAAATCTTTACAAGTTGTGAATGTTTTAGTTTTAGTTTAGTTTTAGTATTGACTTTGGATTGAATAATAGTGCATTTCTTTCTTATATTGTGTGTTTAGTTTTATTTATTTATAATTAACCCATAACAATGAGCAAAAAACAAAAAGGAACATTAGAAAATTTATAATGGATTATTGATACAAAGGCTCAAAGAACACCAATATAATATTCACAAAAATAAACTTAGTACATGCACTGATGCAGTTTGCAACTGAGCAGGAGTATTTCCTTGATGGTCTGATGCCAAGATTTTAAAATATGAATTTGATAGCCATAAGCTAAGGACTCTTAAAGTGTTCTGGAATATTTGCAGCAACCCTTAAAGGAAATTATATCAATAACAAAGAATCCATATCTGTTTCCTCAGCTTGACAATCAATACCAGATAACCCTACAAAACAATGTGGCAACTATTAACTAAAAATATATATTTCACACAATTCCTATATTTTGTGTAATTTTATTTTTACATAATTTACTTATTTTAAGTACATATTTAATCACTTATTTTGTTATTTTTTGTAATCCTTTTTATGTAAATTTACAGTTATATATTATCATTTATTTGTTTGTTTATATATCTTATTTAAACAGTTGATTTTGTTATTTATGTAATTCTATCTACATAAATGTATGGTTGGAAAATATCTATTTTCAAAGCTTTTTATGTCAACAGAACATGAATATTCTTCCAAACTTTTATTTCATTATAGATGTTCAATCTGTATATATATTAAAAGCAAAATGATCCATCACCACTAAAACTGAACCAACACTTTAGAAAGAAGCAGCATGTAAGTAAGTGACATTAGGTCAAATATGGTCTACAATTTGTTACTTGAAAGGACTACATGTTAACTTCCTCTGTGAACTTGGCATGAATTCATGGAAAGGGTTAATTAACAAAGTTTGTGAATGTTTGTAAAGTTATGGCAATGCAACACTTGAGCAATCTGCCTAGGGGGATGCCTTTCGGAAGGTCATTTTAAGGGAAATTGGCCCCTATTTAGGCCTTACAGATGTGGAAAAAACCCAGAAAACTCCACATGGCCAGCCCATCCGAGCAAGGCGTAAACCCATGACCAAACTCCCAGTGTTCAGGTTACAAAGAGCACTTGGCCACTGGTGGGCTAATTAACAAAGGGGAGGAAAATCTTTCTCTAGCAATAGGAGACACAAAAAGTTTGATTTTTGAATAATTAATCTTTGGTTATATATAGAATACAGATATAGATTTTGTTGTTGAATAATTATTTATTCATTATTATTTATTTTTTTTATTTATTATTTATTTATTTAATTTTGTCTGCATTTTTTGAGCTGTTAATTACAATTTTTTTAAATAATTNACTTTTATTCCAAAGTAATTCTAAGAAACTATTAATGCTTGGAATTTTAAAAATAATTAGGAAAAATAGTAGGCTTAATAGTAGTGTTTAAAAATTTAAATGTTTTTTGCAAAAGATATGCAAAATCTTTACAAGTTGTGAATGTTTTAGTTTTAGTTTAGTTTTAGTATTGACTTTGGATTGAATAATAGTGCATTTCTTTCTTATATTGTGTGTTTAGTTTTATTTATTTATAATTAACCCATAACAATGAGCAAAAAACAAAAAGGAACATTAGAAAATTTATAATGGATTATTGATACAAAGGCTCAAAGAACACCAATATGATATTCACAAAAATAAACTTAGTACATGCACTGATGCAGTTTGCAACTGAGCAGGAGTATTTCCTTGATGGTCTGATGCCAAGATTTTAAAATATGAATTTGATAGCCATAAGCTAAGGACTCTTAAAGTGTTCTGGAATATTTGCAGCAACCCTTAAAGGAAATTATATCAATAACAAAGAATCCATATCTGTTTCCTCAGCTTGACAATCAATACCAGATAACCCTACAAAACAATGTGGCAACTATAAACTAAAAATATATATTTCACACAATTCCTATATTTTGTGTAATTTTATTTTTACATAATTTACTTATTTTAAGTACATATTTAATCACTTATTTTGTTATTTTTTGTAATCCTTTTTATGTAAATTTACAGTTATATATTATCATTTATTTGTTTGTTTATATATCTTATTTAAACAGTTGATTTTGTTATTTATGTAATTCTATCTACATAAATGTATGGTTGGAAAATATCTATTTTCAAAGCTTTTTATGTCAACAGAACATGAATATTCTTCCAAACTTTTATTTCATTATAGATGTTCAATCTGTATATATATTAAAAGCAAAATGATCCATCACCACTAAAACTGAACCAACACTTTAGAAAGAAGCAGCATGTAAGTAAGTGACATTAGGTCAAATATGGTCTACAATTTGTTACTTGAAAGGACTACATGTTAACTTCCTCTGTGAACTTGGCATGAATTCATGGAAAGGGTTAATTAACAAAGTTTGTGAATGTTTGTAAAGTTATGGCAATGCAACACTTGAGCAATCTGCCTAGGGGGATGCCTTTCGGAAGGTCATTTTAAGGGAAATTGGCCCCTATTTAGGCCTTACAGATGTGGAAAAAACCCAGAAAACTCCACATGGCCAGCCCATCCGAGCAAGGCGTAAACCCATGACCAAACTCCCAGTGTTCAGGTTACAAAGAGCACTTGGCCACTGGTGGGCTAATTAACAAAGGGGAGGAAAATCTTTCTCTAGCAATAGGAGACACAAAAAGTTTGATTTTTGAATAATTAATCTTTGGTTATATATAGAATACAGATATAGATTTTGTTGTTGAATAATTATTTATTCATTATTATTTATTTTTTTTATTTATTATTTATTTATTTAATTTTGTCTGCATTTTTTGAGCTGTTAATTACAATTTTTTTAATTAATTGCAATGTTTTTTCTTTTGTTACATAACTATGGAAATTGTTTTGGCATGGTTTAACACAACAGTTAATCAAATTTAAATTTATTTTAATATTTTTAGTTATTTCATTAACTTTTGTTTTATAAATTTTCCTGAGTTTTAAAAATTTTTAAGTTTAATTTTAAGCAAGTTAACATTAATTGAACTATCAGACTACCTAGTTTGATTAATGCTGAAACCTGATACAAGCTCCTAAATGTGGCCAAAAGAAGTTTATTTACATGTATATTGTTGCTGTTGAAAAGAGTTCAATTTATTATAAAATATATATAAATTGAAACTTAACATTATTCAAATTGAAATTATATCAACAGTACAGAAAAGTTAAATATTTGTGGTTTCATACATAAAACCTTTTAATTATTTTATATCTATCAACATCATTTATAAACAAAATGATTATTATAAATAGTAATAATACCTAATATGAAAAATTAAAATAAATAGATATTTTCAATTAACTTTTATCAAAACTTGTCCCAATATCAAAATTAATAATGACAAACTAATTATATTATAAAATTAAATTTTAATTAGTAGCATTGTTCAACTTACAGGATCAGTTAACATAGTTCGAATATGGGAAGAAACTGCAAGGAAGGCTAATGCTTGAAATATCACCAGATTTACAGCACTGTAATATGGATATGGGCCAGGCAAAAGAATGACAAATACAACTACATATTCAGCATATAAAACTAAAAACCATGTTACCACAGCACATATAATACCACATATGTCATGAACAAACCACCATCTTCCTCCACAACATCGATTACTATTGTCCTCTGGCTCTACTGAATTGGTCAATATAGGAGATAATCGTTGAGGAGATACACGATTGTGTTTTCTGCTATGGAAGATAAATAAATGTAAATTATTATTTTAAAAATTATAATAATTTACTAATTTATTAAAATTATTTTGTAAGTTTTCAAATAAAAATGCAAAAACTCTTATAATATATAGTTGTTCAAAAATTATTAACAAAAAATTAAGAAATGTTACGAAAATTATGATCAGAAAGACATTAATATATCTATCTAATAAGTTTTAAAGTCTGAATAAAAATTAAAATTTTGATCACAAATCTTTAGAATAAAATCATATCAATATGAACAGAATCACTCTTATTTGTAAAATAAAATCAGATCTAATTATATATATATATTAAATGATATTAAATGATGATATGATAATTCATCACATTTTGCAATGTCCAGCTGCACACCAACTGCAACCACAATGACTGTTCCCAATAACTAGAAAACCCCTCCAAAATCCTGTGCAACTGCAACTAGAAACTACTTTTGTACTACTTTCTTTCTTCTTCTAAAGCTGATTGCTAATGCACATCCAATCAGCAAATGCCTTTGTGCCACATCAAACAATGAATAAAAGAGCATAGGTAGAGCATGAGATAAGCAAAAGTCTTTGGAATTGACTGTAAGTACTAAAGCAGTGGCATGCCTTCCATGGAAGCTCTGCTTCCCTTGTGTTTTCTAAAGTACTGTATAAATATATATTGTGCAATTATTTTTGTATTTTAATGTACTTTGAATTACTTAAAATTAATATTTTATTATAACCATATTATGTATTACAATTTCTATACATGTGAAAAACAATAAGATTGTAATAAGATTCAAATATAAATTTGTATACGCATATTCCCAATGGAAGCACCATATTGTCAAATATGGGACAGCTTCCACAGCAAAAATATCTGAATCGTGTAAAGAAGCCAGATTACAGGCATTCGCGCATGCGATTTACAGAGCACCAACCTCACACAGTTTAGCATGTGGATGCTACACACCAAAATATTGTATAAGGCTTCCAATGANTCACATTGTAAAATGACATTGCGCATGCATCAAGCACTTATGTTCGAACAAACCTGATCTGCCGTCCGGGTCAGCAAATTTGAAAAGGTGGCAACACTATCTCTCACTGATATCACAAAATACTCCTCAGTTTTTGTGAAAAATTCTTTTTTAAACACATCATAGACATTGAATTATTGATTATTTATAAAATAAAATCAGATCTAATTATATATATATATTAAATGATATTAAATGATGATATGATAATTCATCACATTTTGCAATGTCCAGCTGCACACCAACTGCAACCACAATGACTGTTCCCAATAACTAGAAAACCCCTCCAAAATCCTGTGCAACTGCAACTAGAAACTACTTTTGTACTACTTTCTTTCTTCTTCTAAAGCTGATTGCTAATGCACATCCAATCAGCAAATGCCTTTGTGCCACATCAAACAATGAATAAAAGAGCATAGGTAGAGCATGAGATAAGCAAAAGTCTTTGGAATTGACTGTAAGTACTAAAGCAGTGGCATGCCTTCCATGGAAGCTCTGCTTCCCTTGTGTTTTCTAAAGTACTGTATAAATATATATTGTGCAATTATTTTTGTATTTTAATGTACTTTGAATTACTTAAAATTAATATTTTATTATAACCATATTATGTATTACAATTTCTATACATGTGAAAAACAATAAGATTGTAATAAGATTCAAATATAAATTTGTATACGCATATTCCCAATGGAAGCACCATATTGTCAAATATGGGACAGCTTCCACAGCAAAAATATCTGAATCGTGTAAAGAAGCCAGATTACAGGCATTCGCGCATGCGATTTACAGAGCACCAACCTCACACAGTTTAGCATGTGGATGCTACACACCAAAATATTGTATATTCTTCCAATGATTCTATCCATTAGCCACTTGTAGGGAGCTATTTAACTAAGTGGATTGTTTTAAGATTTAAAAAGTAAAGAATATGTTATTTTTATGTACATTTCTTTACAAAGCTATATTTAATTATAATTATATTGACAGGTTTTCAGACATAAAATCTTTAGAATTTTTATCACTTTTAGATGTTAATAATTTTAAATATTATGAAAAACAATTTTCCGAAGTAAGTTTTAATTCTTTAAATAAATTGCATGAGAATTTTTTGATTTATCTACATTATGTAGTAAATTGCAATATTTATATTCATGTTCAGACTAAGTTATATTGGCAAGTCACTCTAAGGCATAAAAAATATTATAATTAATTATGATCTGAACAAAGACATACTAAAAGAATTATATGAGTTAATATCATTAATTTTTACGAGTGCATCTGTTGAGCACAGTTTTTCAACCATGAAGCAAATTCATACATTCATGAGGAACGCTCAGTCAGAGGAAAGATTGTTGTCACTAGTGTTACTTTGAATAGACAAAGAGCTTTTAAATACTTTGATGGAATCAACAAGTGATTTTTATGATAAAGTAATTAATGACTTTCCAGTATTTGTTTAAAATTTTATGGAAACACAGCTTCCCTATCATCAAATGTTACTGCATGCCACTGCATTTTTAGATTTCTAGATATGAAGTGCTGATTGTTTTAAGTTTAGTAATATTATTACAGTATTATTTTAAATATAGCTAAAGAACTAAGTAAAAGTACTATCATTTGTAAACAGTATTCCTTTACATTAAAAAAAAAAAAAAAGATAGCAGATAAATAAGCTAATGTGGAAACACTGGTCACCATTTAGTTTTCTATTAAATCCATACAATAAAAGTTCAAACAGGTTTTGCCTGCCAAGTCATGACAAGCATTTTTGAGATTTCAAAAGAATTTTGCTATTTGATTTTTTAAAGAATGAAAAACAATTATCTTTATATTGTGAGATGTTGAATAAACCTGGTTAGGCAGAAAAAGCCTGGAAAGGTTGACAAAAATGGGTATGCCTGCTGCATGATAATACAACACTCTATAGTGCCTGTTAGACTACAGTTTGCTAAAAATTATGGCTCAAAAGCAACAGAACACTGTGCAAATAAGCAACAAATAAAATAGTGTCTATTAACATTATTTTTGTTAATTTTTTATGAATAACAACCAACCCCATATGTCAGAGTTTTCTTATCTTAACTAGAGATTTTATTTTGTTTTTAGTTCCTTGGGGATGAAATTTCCTTTTAATACAAAGTTTAATTGTTTGACTTCTGACTATTGTACACATTTTTAGGAATGTATTACATCCAAAAGTCAGAAACTGCCTCATGTAAGTTTTTTCTTACAAAATGAAAAATTTAATGATGTAAGTAGGAAACAATGTAGTAAGTGAGTGAACTAATTAGAAACAAAATAAACATTTCAATTTCACTTTTAAAAACACATGGTTTCCCTGTATATTGTCAAATTTTCCCTGATTAATGTCTTTAGGCTTAACCAAGATGCTATGCCATTTTATTGTAACATCATAAAAAAGTTGTTCTTTGTTGTGGGTGGCTAAATAAATATTTTTTGAAAGCTAACTTTGGAAAACCTTAGTGGCTACCTATTGATATTATAATTAAAATAAAAAATTATTGCATCATTTTATGGCTATTGCTATATTTTTTCTATCATAAATTCTTCCAGGACTGTTTTAATTTCCCTAACCTTATTCACATAATCAGATATATTCTGTACCTTATCTGCATAATCAGATAATAAATACCTTATCTGGTCTTCATAAATGCTTTACTTTGTGGATGAGTTCTGAGTATTTACTAACTTTTTCATTTAAACAGTTTGATATGAAATGTTCAATTTCTAAGTGTTAGATGGAATTATTTTATTCTGCCATTGTCAGTCCTAAGCCCAGATGAGAAAAGAGGAGGGTTGGGTGTGGAACCAGCAACTTCACCCTGTAGAAATCAAGGCTGCAGAGTCAGTAAAAAACACTTGACTCAGATTCCTGATAATTTTAGTAGGTTGACTGACTCCAGCAAAATTGAATACCAAGTCATTTTATGGGGGAGTGCAGAAGTGCTCATAGGGGGTATACTACTCTGAACTCTGCAAGGAGCATTTACCCAAATACTTTTATAGTTAGAATTTTTAATATTTAACTTAACTTTTTTATAAAAATATTAATGTAATTTTTAACAAATATTTAATAAGAGGAGAAAAGGGGAGATAAAATTCTACATCTACATATCTTTATTCTATTGCATTTGCACTTCAATTTCACTCTTCCAGAAAAGTTAGTCCAATTAAAAAGTGTGCAATCTAGCTATTTCAGCCCCTTGTTCAGAAAAGAAAAATATATACAGGCATACCTCGACTTACGTCGTTTCGAGTTACGTCGTTTGTCAAAAAAGTATATGGAAAAATAAATATCAAGTTTAAGTCATTTTATTCGACTTTACGTCCGTCCCCCACAAATATTGAAGTCATAATATCACTAGAAAAGCGTTTAAAGCACATAAAATCATATTAAAATATATACTAGTATGTTCTTTATTTACAGTACATGCATCCATAAATTTAGAATACTTTTTTCTGTACTATATTAAAAACTAAAATTTATTTGTTTGTAAGCTTAAAATAGATTTTTATTAACCATATATTATTAAAAATGCATTAATAAATAAAATACAAAACCAGGAATGGTAATTTATGGTTTAGCCTAGTGGCAAGTAGATTCGGAGACAAGTAAATTCGACTTACGTCGTTTTTCGACTTAAGTCGTTTTCCTGGAACCAATTATCGACGTAAGGCGAGGTATACCTTTACTCTGATCAATTAGTCTGGCTCATTCAGAAAAAGAGAGCACTTATTTAGAGTGGAGATAATAAAGGAAATAAACCACTGTTTATCAATTTTCCAATTTAAACTAGTAAAATTTTTCTGAAAATCATATGGCAGGCAAATCTGGAAAACGAAATGAACCCTCATTCATTTACTTGAGAATCTTCATATCAAGAAATTGCATTTTGACAATTTCCAATATTAAACTTGAAAGATTTTTCTGTGGAAAACAAAAAGA